TTGATACCAATGCAATGTTCATAACGTCAAAGAAATCAAATGTAGCAAACAAGTCTCACAGATTACCATATCTAGAGTGTATATAACCGTCAATTAGCTGATTAATTATGTGCAAGTTACTGCACACCATAACTGCACAATAATATAAATTAAATAGATTAAAATTGACAAAATAAACAGATAAAATAAAATTAAATTTCTTGTAAAAACATAACATTTGCAATGTCAAAAGCAAAAGTGTCAACTTATGTCAAAGGACATTAAGAAAAAAAAATTGAATTTGTCAAAAATGGAGTTCCATTCCTATTATCTAAAGAAGGTGTACGTGACTCAGAACTGAATAGATTGAGTCCTTGGATTATCATTAATAGATGAATTCTGAGATTTTTCAATAGTGATAGATTTTTTTAAAAATTAGTAAATGTCCAAAAACATTAAAAATACAGTAAATTCAATTATACTTAAAAAACTAATGCTGACTATATAAAATGACTTATTAAAATTCTACACACTTTCTCGTATACTATCATATGTACTATCATTATATGTACTATCCAAGAAATTCATTGAAATGAATAAATACTAAGTCAGATTAATTGCTTTTAATCCGCTTTCCAATTCTTGCTTCTGCCGTTCTTTAACATAATATTGGCGCAGTCGTTGCTATATTGACAAACATTTACTAAAAAAGTTAATATTTGTTATATTTTCGTTACATTTAGCCAGAAATACGAAAGCTGTTATATATATATATGTGTGTATATATATATATATATACACACACACACAGATTTTAATTATTATATAAATTAGATATTTAGACTGATTCAAAATCGAGGAATTCTCTTCTCAAAAGGTTTCTTTTTTTGCTATATCTTTAAAATCTTTTTTTTTGTTTATCCCACAAATGTGAGTATAACCTTAAATCAATTAATAATTTATCACTATCTTTGCTTTCAGTTAAATCATATTTCACTGTCATTCTGATTTATTGAGTCATTGAAATATATGTTGTCACTATTATATGTGTGATCACACATTTTTTACTATTTTTAATCATGTATGTACGTCCAATTCTGATTTTAATGAAACTGTGAATTTGTAGCTTACATAAACAGAATGAATTTAGAAAATATCAGTTGCGGCTGAAAACGGTTTGAAGGGGTGCAATCATCCTCTACGTATACAGCGGTTTTCAGCTTTTTCCGTTATATCTCTTGTGAATTTACATTAAAGTTACATGCATGAGAAATAACGTATTCTTCTTTTTAGTAAGTAGTTGTTTTGCTATCATAAAAACTTGTGTGTTATAATAAAATGGGGAAGAAATTTGAAATTATAGATTAATTGGAAATTCCATGCCAGAGTTACAGTAATTATTCTAATAAATTTACTAATCTTATAATAATAATTATAATACTAATTTATCAATATTATCAATTGATCGGTACAAAACATCAATAGCAGAATTCAAAATATCAACAACAGAGTTCAAAACATCAACAGTAGGATTCAAAATATCAATAGCAGGGTTCAAAACATCAACAGGGTTTCAATCTTTAACTTTTGGACCATATGTTTCTTGTATAAATTCCCAAGCTACTTTGTCATTATCTGAAATTATTTCAATATTACGTAACAATCCTTAAAATATCGATAACATAATATCAATCATAAAAATTTATCGAAGAAGGCATACATATTTCAATTGGACATATTTAGATTTAGTCAATCCACTTTTAGTGAAGGACAGTTCATTAATACGAAAATAAATATATATCCTAGGATCTGTTAAAAAGAAGAAATTATAAATTAAATTAAATTTGACGTGTCAAATTCAATCATATACGGTAATGAAAGAGAAATAAGTTCGATGATAAGTTGTTGAGGTTAGAATTTTAAAATTATTTCACAATAGATTTGTTAAAAACTTATTCACATCTTGGGTGCATTCCGTTTCACGCATGTGTATGATGCATCAGTGGCTGTGTTCAGCGAACTCAACAGTTGAGTGAGCGCTCTCTGTTATTGATATATTTTTTCAGATCATCCAAACAGCATTTTAAGTCTGGAAGAAACATCAATACCAGCAAGCGCTCATTCAACTGTTGAATCCGTTGAACGCAGCCACTTATCCTTAGAGGTTTCGCGTCGCATGCTCGAACATGTTTCAATATGTTCCTATCATATGCACTCATTAGAGTGAGTAGGAACTATGGCAAACTTCTTGTTTAAAACTCGGTGAACAACAAGGATAAATGGCCTCCTTGACTTCTATTCTTGAAAGGAAACGTATACGATATTCTAGGAAATTCTATAGTTACGTAACATAGTATTTCCCTAGACTTTCGTATACGTTTCTTTTCAAGAATAAGGAGCCTTATTTTTGTCCGCATACATTTTTATGTCTATAACAATATACAAATTTTTATGATTGGCCCTAAGCTCTCTGATATTAATCTAAAATGTTAAAATTTGTAAAACTGTATGATTTTCCACTAAAAGGATACGTCACCGGTCACATCACATGGCCTAGTTTACATCGTACACTTGATATAGGTTCTAACTAGTAACTTTATATATGTTGAAACATATATATGATATATGTATTTAATTAATCATTATGATGTATATTGTACCAATTTAGTACATCATTCTTTAAATATATTGTTGAAATTAAAATAATTTAATAGAAAGTTACTAGTTAGTACGTGTATCAAGTGCACGATGTAAACTAAACTATTATCATATGAAATTTGAATTATAAACAAATATCAATAAAGCCCCGTATAAGTAAGTCGCAACACGCAAAACGCATTTACATTCGCATTTGCGATACCCAATCAAAAGCTGTTATTAGTACCATTGCCGCTTATGATTGGCTGTCGTGAATGCGAATGCGGTTGACGTGCTGTGACTTACCTAGGCTGAGTATTTTCCATTTCATGACATAAATCGACACAGGTCGACAAGTTTATCTTTGTAACTCTCTGGCCTAGTTTACATCGAGGGTTCGACCCGGGTCAGAATACAAGAACCAATGTTACAGTCAAATGACAAGGAAATGCTCGACTACAGTTGGTTGGTTCTTACATTCTCGGATTGAATTCTCGGTGTAAACTCGGCCTCTGAATGTCAAATAGAACGACGCTTGTGTCGATTTGTGTCATCAAATGGAAAGCACTCATTGTGTTTCACTTAACGTTCGCACACTCGTGAGCATTGTTTATTCTTGTTTAACATTTGATAAACGACAAGGATGAAGTGATTTCACGAACGTTGCGAGCATTAACGTAGCCTATATTGGAACGCTAAAATCTTGTATCCACGATGCTAAGTCCGAATCTATCTAGGTGTTTTAAGCCTTAAGCCGTAAGAAATTAAACAATTACAGTTCGAATGCGAGGAAAATAATTGATTGTGATTCGTCCATTTCTTATGGCTTAAGGCTTAAAAATCTATTGTAGATCTGGATCTCTATTCTTGAAAAATACCGCATACAAAAATCTAAGGAAATACTACAGTATGCGTAACATAGACTATAGCATTTTCCCTAGTTTTTCGTATACGATATTTTTTAAGAATAGAGTCCTGAAATAATCGATTCGAGATCTCGGATGAAGAAAGAATTGATCAATCACATTAGTCATATCCGTTATGTGATCGAAATATTCAAACTTGATTCGTTAATTTTTTTTCTGTCCGATTTCTAACATCGTAAATACAAGATTTTATGACAGAAATTTGAATTTTAAGTGATTTTTATTGTAAATTTTAAGCTGCAGAGACGCTTTAAATAGCAGACTTTTTACTCACTATGGGGCTCTGCACAATAAAAGGAACAGACAACAAACAGAGAATAAGAATTTCAACCTATCAGAAATCATAGGTTTGTTTTCTGCATGAGGATTGCACTAGAACTGAACTGAACTAGTGCAATCTAGGACTGACGAGTGTAAGCGTGCAGGCAAGGAATAAAAAACGTTTTAGTACAAGATAAAAATGGTGTCCCATATTGTTTACATGGAAGTTAGGGAGAAATTAGATTCGTATGATGAAAATGAATGCAATTCCACTAAAAAAATTCTTAATTAAAGATAATGATGACACAAAATGTTTTTATATGTAGGCTTGCTATTATTTATATATATTTATCATTCTATTATTTATGAATTATCTAATTATTAATTATTTAAAAGACGTGCCTCACCTTCAATTTTAATAAAATTATATTTGTCGCATTTGTCGCATTTTTGCATGAAACGAAAGAATCTGGCAGTAAAATGTCATGCCTAGTCCCGTGAACCGAGATATTAAGCGTTGAAGTTGACGAGTTATTAAGGTTAGGAAATTTGTCAGCTGCAAAATATCGCGATGAAAGCATGTGCTACGATCATATTTTCATGCTTTATGGCTACATGTGCATAGTTTTTTACTAACTTGCTTCTACAGCGATATATTAATGTTTGTTTATTAATATTCAAATTATCTTCCTTTCATCGTTTAAGGGTTTACAATTTTTTGCACGTAACAAGTAAATAATTATCAATTCTCGTACTATTTGTACAAGGTCTGTCTTTTGGGTGAACTAGTGTACATTAATGTTTGTACTGCTTGCACTGACTCCAGACCTAGTACAGCCAGTACAGTGAACTCGTGCACTGAATTCTGTTGCACTGGAATGAAAAACACCGTCGCTGACGTCATTTTGGGAAAACGCTTTAGTGTACACTAATTTCGAACTAGTGCAATTAGTGTAGGAACAGAACACAAATTTCATGTATTGTAGAATACATAGTTTCTGATAGGTTGAAATTTTTATTCTCTATTCTCTGTTCCCTGTTCCTTTTATTGTGCGGAGTCCCTTATTCTCTGTTCTTCGTTCCTTTGCTCCTACTACTGAAAATCCATAGTGCACTTAATTTGTGTTTTTAGTGTTGGGGTCATATGTGTCATGCTGACAGTGGCCTAGTTTCCACCGAGGATTTAAACCGGATCAGAATGGTTGCGTTCAGCAGGATGTTTATTTTGCAATTGTTGGAAGTTTTCTTCACGCTGATTGGATTATATTTTTAGATCTAGAAGAATGACCCTATCTCAGCAGACAATCATAAAATGGCAAAACTGTTGTGTTCTACTGAACGCAGCCAATGTAAGAATCAATCAACTACAGTCGGGCATTCTCCTGTTTGACTATAATATACAGATCTGGTTTAAACCTTCGATGGAAACTAGGCCAGTGAGTAATAGCTAGTAGGTGTATACAGAACAACAACAATTGCTCATTGAGCACTCACACTTTCATTTGATTGGTCTATATTTTAGGATCTAAGGGAATATACCAATCTGAGCGGTTGTCGTTTGCATCCAGTAAATATCGAACGCAGGTTCGATTGGTGCGATATTCAATTTAAAAAATTGGCCTCTAAAAATATTGGCTAAAAATAACAAAAAAATAACCAAAAAATTGTATCGATAAAAATCGCACATTCCTAGCTATCGCGCCAACTTGTACCGCACGGCAAGCGTTGTGTTCTGTGTGCAGAAGCCATAACCGTCTAGTTTATTCTTACTGTGTCTATAGGTTTGACGTAGAGAGTGCCAGCGAAGAGAACAGCAAAACGTAGTCCGAAAATATATTACGACGGTAATGGCGGACGAGGAGCTACCAGCAGGATGGGAGAAACGCCTCAGCAGATCGACTGGTATGTCGAAACTGACGATTTTTGCAGTCGCAACCCCACGATCGGCGATCTTGTTAAGGCGCGAATCTCAACACGGAGCATCGTGGAATCCACGATCTCATAGCCGCGTTTTGCTCTCGGAGCGAGATTACGAGCATTTCGACGTATAACATTTCATTGATATTTCGCTGATGCTAATCAATTCGCAGTGGTCAAGAGAAGTGTCCGATACTCCTCGATGTTCTCGACAAATTTTTGTATTACGTATGTAGTCGATCGTAGTTGATGCGAATCTTTTACCGGGTTCTACAAACAGTTGGTAGTCAGAAGTCTTATTAACTAGTTAAGCTAATTCTACAATCTGTAGTCAGAGATTTTAAGTTTTATTCAGTCTTAACCTAAATAGATAACTAGTGACGAATTTGGCACACATGCAGACTCTGCTTTGATGCTGCTCTAACATGAGGCCTGTTCTTTTTGACTGAACTTTTGCACTAGTTTGTCTTTCTTTCTATTCTTTCCTCTTGGAGAGAAAAGGAAGAAAGATGAATTCAAGTTAGTCAAAAAGAATAGGTCTATGGTGTAAGTGTAGAACCACTGATGCTATGCCAAACTACACTGTCAGAAACATTAGTGCAATATTTTTTGAACTCATTTAGTTTATTTGATTGGTCCAAATATAAATTTATTCTATTGAATTAGTTTTTATTTGCTGAATATGACAATCCGAATGCATTGATACAATGCGTATAAGCCGAATGTGTGACACTGAAAAAGTTTGCACTCAGTACTACACACTAGTGTAATTTGCCGAATTTGCTATATGATTTTTCGCATCTACAAGTTATTAATTATACAGCAAGTTGTTTAGCTCGACTAATGGGAAGGAATAAAATTGAATTTGACTAAGTCTTAAGAAAATTGGTAGTTTTAGTTGTATAAGTAGACTGTTGGCCAACTTCACTGATTCATTGAAGACTTAAGTCCGTATCAGACTATTGATTTTACAGGCTGACCCGACTGCCAATTCTGACTGCAGAGCAATAATGGACCAATTACAATAAGACTGATTCAATGTATTTGGTTCATTATTGGTCGGCAGTCAGAATTAGCAATCTCATCCTGAAGAGTCGATAGTCTAATATGGGCTATAAGACTAGCAATTCATCGTAGAATCACCTTACAATTAATTGTACAAGTTGGCTATTGGCCAATTTCACCAATTAAGATTTAGGACCGCTTTAGGATTTCCAATTATTGACTCATTGTAGAACCCTGGTTAGAGACGAAAGATTGAATAGTGTGCTGGGTGCTGGAGATGATTGGATTTGATTTTGCTGAAAAACGACTAGAAAATATCCCGCACTCATTATCAATTGATTTTTATCAACATTGTCAGTTTGTTGATTTCAACTTCAGTGAATTGATTGCTTTATTAATCATAAAGCATAAACTTTTCAAAAATTCAGTACACAATTGCTTTTATTGTTTCTGCATTAATTTACTCCAGATCATAAAAGTTTGAAAAGTTTTTTTAGATTATTATCCATAATAAGATGTTTTTTTAGCAATAATTCTTCAGATTCAATAGTTATTGGATCTAAAGAATTATTGTAAAAACATAATATACATTGGTATGAATATATAAATAAATAATCTTAAAATTTTTAATGTGTTTCTAATTTTTTAGATGGGAGTATATAATGGGAGAAAATGGTTCTAGTTTAGTCTAATTTATTTCTATTTCTAATCTAAAACTTTCTTTAAAAATTGCAATTGATCCTCAGTTTTCTTGAACATGATCAATATTCACTGAATTTAAAATGTTTGATATTAAGTTTTGCTTTATGTGACATCATAGAGCTGGTAAAGCACAATAGTGATAAAAAACCTACTTAAGTATATTAATATTAGTATTTTAGTTTCTGAAATGAATAAAATTATTATAGGTCAACACTATTATTTAAATATTTATACCAAGGAAAGTCAGTGGGATAGGCCAGATAAACCTGCTGATCCATCTGGTAATGGCAAGGCAGATGGACCTGAAGAAGTGCAATGCTCTCATCTACTTGTAAAACATTCAGGCTCTCGACGACCTTCTTCCTGGCGAGAAGAGAATATTACTAGGTCAAAAGAAGAAGCTCTAGATTTGGTCAAATGTATGTCTACAGCTTTACAATCTTTTGTCTAAAAATTATTATTTCATGTAGAATATTTCTATCTGTTGTTTCTATGTTTGTTTCATTGTAAATCATTAATCCCAGAGAGCAAAGTTTCTAAACTATTTTTCATTACAATTGTAATTTTTATACAGAAAGTGATAAACTTCTTGTTTAATTTTTACTACAAAAATAATAAGATTTATTTTTTTTTAATTTGTTGTTACTATTTGGAGACTTCTCTTTAAAAAAGTAATGCAATATTGTGATTTTTTTTCTAGTTGTCTTGGGATTAAATACGTTTTCATAGATTTTGTTTATATTAAGATGGAATATTTTTTCACTTAAAATTTAATAATATTAGTACAAAGTGGGAAATGTATCTGAAATAATTTTAATTTTGTGCGATAACTACTATAGCACTGAAATATTTAACACCTTTCAGCTGTGATTACTACAAAAATATCTTTTTAACAGCTTATAGAGAACAAATTGCATCTGGTAAAGCGACGTTCGCTGAACTTGCCTCCAAATACAGTGATTGCAGTTCGGCAAAGCGTGGCGGTGATCTCGGACCTTTCAGTCGTGGTGCAATGCAGAAACCCTTCGAACAGGCAGCATTTGCGCTGAAAGTTGGCGAGCTATCATCACCTGTGCACACAGATAGCGGAATTCATATCATCCAACGAACTGCATAAGCCAATTCAGTCTGAAACGGATTGTCAATATTTTGCAAGAAGTCTCTCTCTCTCTCTCTCTCTCTCTCTCTCTCTCTCTCTATCTATCTATCTTATTGTTTATAAATTTATGCCAATGGTGTTCTTCCAACATTTTATATATTGGCTATTGCACTATTTTTATTTAAAGCAGAATGTTGAATTTTATTGAATTTATTTGAAGTCGCAATATCTAAATTTGTATTTCTTTAGACATATTTTTATCTTAGTTTTCAATAATAATTCCGTTTTGCAATAAAATAATAAATTAACGGTCCAATCGAGAAAACTTTAAGGCATCATTAGTCTTTTAAATTGCATATTATAATATCATATAAGAATAATGATATTATATACACCTTCATTATTAGAAACATAATAATATTTGAGTGTAAGCGCGCGCGCGCGCGTGTGTATATGTGCGTGTGGGGCTCCTTGATGAATATTGTTATCTTACCGCAGATAAGCGAACAACTTATAATGTGTTAATATATTAAATGTCTTCCCCGACCTAAAGTGGAAGTTAAAACACTAGCTAAACGATGAGATTACTGCTCAATAATTTTATTTGCCACATTGTAATTGAGATTATTAAATTATTAAACTTTTAATATGATTTTTTTTTAAATAATTATACTGTAACATTGATTGTACACATTGATCGTCCATTGATTAGCCAATTCTTAATCTAATAGTAAAGTGTTTTATTATACATATTTTGTAACTCTGATTTGTGTTCAAGCAAATGATAAAGATTAATTTGATTGTAATAAAGTTAATTTATAAAATATTTTATTCCATGAATATGTGGAGAAAAATTGTGATTAGACCAAAAGTAAATTTCGTTTTTGCGTAAACTTTTAAATGCATTGACAAACCGTATCAATATTATATATAATATAAAAAACTATTTTTTATCCTTTAACTAGAAATAAATTATGAATTATGAAACGTGATAATTGACTTTTTTTTTTATCACTATGTAATTCTTTATGCATTTATAGCGTGATACATACTTCAATAAGCATTTTCATTAGTTTGTTTTACTTAGGGAATCATAGATATGTATTTTCGATGTATAAATTGGGAGAAGAGAAATCATGAGCGGCTGAATTAAAAGTATTTTATTTAATTCGTATTACGAACTAAAATAATATATTGGATGTTTCTGAGAAACATCTAATATCTTCCAATCAAAAGTTGATATGAATATTGCTATTAAGGGGGTATCCTACATTATAGATTAAAAAAAAATCGATTTTTTTTTTCATGAATTGATAGTACAACTCTTCAAGAGAATATGTTCCTAAATTTTAGAGCAAAATTTTTTGGTATAAATGCAGTGCTTGTATATACGGGTGCACGGCGTGCAGGTGTAAACGAATTTCCAGACAGGAACGCCGACGACTTACGAGGGAATCGTCGGAACTGATCCTCATGATTTTAATGAGCTTTGGATGTGTTGAGTAGAGTATGAAAAAATATTAGATCCATATTTTTGTCTGCTTATTTCGAGGTTTAAAGGATGAAATATTCCCTCGAAAAAAATCGGTTTTTTTCTTTTGAAGCGAATATCGTCGAAACTATAAGAGATAGAAAAAACTTTTTAGAATGAAAATTGAATGACTTCAAGAGTACTTTAGAACTGTAATAAAATAAATTTTTATTTTAAATAAATAATTTTTAAACAAACGATAGATAGGATCGAACATTATCAAACTAATCATTAAAATCAGCGCCGTATCGGTCACAGTAAGATGTTGAACTACTGACTTAATATACATTCAATAAAATTGAAAGTATATAATTAATTTTTCAGACATAAATTGAGAGCCGATGAAATTATCGGATTCACACAATAAATCTGAAACTAATAAATCCCCCCAAATTTCTTCCCAATCTTAAAACTGTAATAATTTTATTGCGAAAAAATATTGCCTCGGCCGGGAGTCGAACCCGGATCTCTTGCATTCCGTGCGAGCGTCCTGAGCCTTTAGACTACCGAGACCTTAGCAAATAATTTTTAATAAGAATTAAAAAAGAAATTTTTTTCTAAAGCACAGAGCTGGGATTTATTGCACATTTTAGCCGATTTTCAGTTTACTTCTTGCTGATCAGCATTTAAATTGCGCGCGGGTTGGATGAAGTAAGTAAGAAGCAGGAACCAAGCTGAAAATCGAAATGTGCACCTAAATCCCAGCTTTGTTCTAAAGTACTCTTGAAGCTATTCAATTTTTATTTTGGAAAATTTTTTCTTTTCATAGTTTTCATATGATATTCGCTTCGAAAGAAAAAAAATTGATTTTTTTCGAGGGGATGTTTTATCTCCTTAACCTAATATTAATCTAAATCTAATATTTTTTTCATGCTCTACAACATATCGAAAGCTCATTAAAATCGGTGAGGGTCAATTCTAACGGTTCCCTTGTTAGTATCACGAGAGAGGTCCAAGTAGCTCGTAGAATAACTCAAATCAAATTGCTCCAAATGAATTCCATGAGGAAGCCGAAGGATTATTATCCCTGGAATAGCAGATTAGCCTCCGAGCATTGTGAGATTTCAAGAACTAAACCGAAAACTTTAAACGCGTTTTTTTCGAAATCTATTTTTTGCATTTTTTTCAATTTTAGGTACACGATTGAGAAAAAATTACTTGACCAATCGGCTTTTTATAGGGCTCGTTAATTGGTTAATTGTCATTCATCCTCAATGACTTAAAAATTAAATAAAAATCAATATTAACAATTTTTTTGCATAAAGGAACGGCTGCTATTTAGTGAAAATTGTAATTTTTTTTCAAAGTTACACAAAATTTTAATTTATATATATATATATTTTAATTTTTTTATATTTATTTAGAATAAAATTCTGTAAAAATTAAAAATATTTCTAAATTTTTTATTTGCAAGAATTACTGTCGCTAAGATGTACACGTAGTGGCGAGGCGTCAAACTAAATGTTTATATTTTTATTATTTATGATACTTTTTTTTACATAAAAATTTGTACGTACTTTACAATAGTTATATTAAAATGTGCAAAAAGTTTTAAAATGATAAATATTAGGCTTCCTTAAAAAAAAATTATCTTTTTTCAGTCTTCTAAAGTAATACACTCCCTTAATGTGATATTGCGGATCAAAGGCTCACTTTCTTCAAATAAATGTTTTGAAGTATTTCATCTACACGAATATTTCCACATTCTGAGAGACAGATTTTTTGGAGATCATGAATTTTAGAGATAGATAATTCATATGTAATCCTGTTACATGTAACTTGTAATGTTATTACGAAAGAACATAATTTACATTCGCAACGTAAAATATGTGAGATTAGCACAAGAGATAAATCAATATGGTAAATCATATTGATTTCAGAAAATCAATTTTAGCTTTCTTACATGAAGTATAAATTAATATATTATGTGATTTTATCATATTTATCATTATGATTTTACAAGGTGATTTATGTTTAAGTGATAAATACATATGTACTAGAAAAATAATGTATATATTTAAGTTCTCGCTTCAGGAAGACTTCGATTGTAATTCTGAGATTTGCTTGTAATTTAATGTGTTAAACTGCAATAGCTAGATTTATTCTAATGTTCTCTCTGTTTTATCTTTTTCCTTAATTTCTACTATTTTTAAAGTAGAGTATTGTTTTATTGAGTTGTATATAAAGTACAAGTTATGAAAACATATTTGCATCTTGTTTTCGGAACATAGATTTAAGATAAGATTTTCATGCTCAATTAAAATTGCTGGAATATTTACAAATGAAATTGATTATGAAATATTTTAATTCTAAAAGAATTAAAAATATGCATATATATATATATATATATATATATATATATATATATATA